TTTTTTGAATTAAAGCTCCAGATTAAAATGAGCAATGACTGTGTAATTTCTCACTAGTTAATCACAATAATTATTATTTGCAGATAAGTTCAGAGAACATCTTTGAGCACTTGTGCACTCAGATTTTCTAAAATAAATAATAATCCTTTTTAATAATTATCATACATCCTAATGCTTTCAGGAGATCAATTACAAAGCATCAAACAATTGATTTTCAACCCAGCAAAGCTATGAGTACTCTTCCCTGAATGTGAAAGGGGAAAATAGGTGGAAGGTTCCCTCTTGTACTGAGGACTAATGTATAAGCCTTACCAAATGCCTTGTCCAACCTTCGTACCCTTCTAGATTCCAGCAAACTGACTCTGCCACAAGTTTCTGTTTGCATCTCCCCTCTTTCAGCACCACTGTACTGCTGATCTAACAACCAGCCATACGCCTCTGCTCCAACCAGTTTACCTGTTTCTTCTTCCCGTCGTGACTTTGCAAAGACCTTTAACTTTATTGGTGACTTCTTTGATGTAAAGATTCTGCTTTTTTCCAAAGTCTTTGCTTTAAAATTTGTAAGAATATGTGAGACTCAGAGATTTCTGCAATCACACTAAGTAAAGTTTACCTTAAAAATGAATGCAGGCAAAACCCAGAGAAACAGAAAAAGCAGAAAATGAATAAAACCCCCTGAAGACTCTGAGATGATAATTTTTCTCTCTTCCTCCCTACACTACTTACTAGGGCCTGAATGGCACACCAGCCCAAGGAAGACCTTAGCAGCAGGTAGGACCCATGTCTGAAGTCCTCAGAGGCAAGTTAACATGAAAGAATAAGAGCAATTACATGCATCTTCTAGCCCTAAAAACCTAACCCATAAACCAGACACCCCTGCAACAGGAAATGCAGCACTAGCATAAGAGTGGCCGGCAACTTCCTTATTCCTACATCCTGTCCAGAGGGTTTCCCAGAAGAGCTGATGGAACATCCAGCCCCAGCGTGGAGCTGGGCGAGGCGCGAGGGAGAGGGTGTCCATCCATGTGCTGCGGTGGACACGACCGCTGCCTGCTAGAGCCACTGCGCCTGAAATGAGCCCAGTGCAGTGCTATGCTACTGAAGCAGTGCACTTTTGCTAGCCTAAGGCATTAATAAATTCACAAGTCAGGCTACCAGAAGGCAAGAGAATATGATAGCCAATTCAAGAAAAAAGCAAGCAGGTCCAGCTAAAACTAATAACTAGTTCAAGGAAAAAACAAGCAGTTCCAGGTGAGTTATTTTTATTTTCTTCCTGATTTTGAGATTTTTAAATACATTTGGATCACATGTCAGATCTTTTCTCTTTCTGCGATGACTAAAAGATTCTTCTCGGTCAGATGAAAGCAGTATAATGGAAATCTCCTGTAACTATTCAACTGCAGGCATTTGGACTTTTAAAAAAACCTATAATGTAAGATCATTCCTCGCTGCCTTTGCTAATGGCTGGTTAAAAGTAGACCACAGGAGTATTTGTTTCCATACTGATCATTTTTGCCGCCTCCCTTTTTGCTTTGTTGCAATGGCCGCTGTGGACTTAGCTATTTTTTAGTTTTTCCACCTCCTTTATTTAAAGATTTCCTCAAGGCTTCCCACATGCCCTGCTATGCAAACGCTCTGTGTGAGCTCACCAGCAGGGCTGCCAGCAGCAGCAAAGCAGGCAAGCTCTCCTTTTACAGCTCACTAGCTTTAGTAGTATCGGCTATGTGCTGTCCCTTCGAACCCAGCAAAACTCTGCTTCTTAGTTCCTGTAGGAATGTCAACAGTGTGGTGTTTTTTTCAGGGGTTTGGGTTTGGGTTTTTTTCTATGAGAGGGGTCTGTTCTAACTGGAGGGGAGAAGAGCAGGGGAATTCACATGTGATTTGAAGCCTCTGCATTTCTTGCCTCAGTAGATAAGAGAAACCAAGCTTTCTCATTATGTGTGTGTGCCTGGCTATATGTTATTTTCTATACTACGTCCAGGCTTCATAGCAAGGAATCACAAAGACTGATAATGCAGCATTTTGTGAATGATAAAACGTTCATTAAGCCCAAGTGTGGGGAAAAAACCCAAACACAAAAGCCCACTAGCTAATGCTGACGTAAGAAATGCCGCCAAGCGCCATTTTCTGAACAACTCTTTTCAGCTGAACTGAAGTGAAATGTTCTTTACAACTGTAATCCTCAGGAAACAGACCCATCAAATCTTCTGATTTACTGCTATTTATCCACTGGCAGAGTCATTATCAACTGGCTAGATTACAGCTGCAGTAGATACCATCTAAACACTGAGAAAAAACTCTAAGTTACTGATGAAATTCAAGTGCTTCAAAAATCACTGAAAGAAGCTCTTGCAATAAATGGTGGACATTACAGGAATTTTGGTCCATCACATGATTTAAGTTTAATAGTGTTATTTCTGTCACTGTTGTATCAAGCCTCAAGCTGACAGTTGTTTGAACAAGGGAAATAGGAAAAGAGTTACCTGTTTTAGGTTTTGCCATGCTTTATTGTACAACTATATGCATAACTGTATGAGTGTTGTCTATTTGGTAATTTTGAAGCTCTGTAGTTTTATTCTGACAATACACATGGAAGATAGTAGGAAAATGAAAGACCAAAAAGTTTGCAAAACCGTTTGAATAAAAATATTTATGTTAAGATACTAAATAACACTTTTGGATTATAACAAATATTTTAAAGCCTCTTTATCTTTTTTCTTCCTTTGTTTTACTCTTGCCCAGAGTCCTCTGGTGACAGTTTTGGAACAACTCAGAATCCACTCAGGAAGTCTGCCTAGAAGCGTTAAATTTCTGCAAGATTCAGCTATACTTCGTAGCAGGTAAGGCATCAAAGCAACCAGAGTAGCGTTATGTCTCCTACTCCCCAACAGCAAGAATGAAGTGACAGAGGTAAATATATACTTGAAAGAAAAATTTTTATAAGGTCAAAGGCCCAAAAGCTGCAATTCTAAGTAAGGTAAAGTACCTCTGTCTTACCCTTATTTTTAATCAGAAAAGTGCAAGAAAGTTAAAAAGATAAGATTTTGTTCCAATTATTTCATGTAGGTTCATAATTTATCCTTATATGAAATACACAAATAAGGTACCAAGATTTTGTTGAAGCATGCAATTAAAGTGCATAAGATATCCATTTTCAATTTCAAGTGGTATGACCATATCAAATGCAGCTCTTGCAGTTACTTTCCTTCCTACTCTTTTCAAATCGTTAAATTTTATGTTTTTTGATTCCTGGAGTAGCAAAAATCCTGGGTTCTCTTTTGTTTAAATGTTATTCCATTAATGGCCTAATGAATCAAGGTACAAATACAGTGTCCCTCTTCTTTTTAAAGAATAGTCGTTGCATTTGATTTGCAGAGGATAGGGAAATGTCTCCAGGATAATTTAAAATTCATGACTGATTACTAATTTTTAAGATAATCTTCTTTTTTTTTAATTTTAAATTATAGGTAACACATCTGACTTAATGTCTGTTGTTTTAAAATGCTCCTTAGTAAATAGAAGTGTACAGTTTGCTCCTATATGCGCTTCATTTCCAGATTTTCTTCTCTTTATCCCACTCCCCCAGGCTTCAGAGTACCCATCTCCATGGCAACACTCGATAAGGTTGGTGGGTGGTGTTATCACAGCAGGCTTCCCCACAGAAGGTCTCAGCCATATGGATTATTTATGAACTTGCATGACAGCACCAGACCCACTGAAATACTTCTTGAGCAAGTTTTCTTGTCTCTGAAAGCCAGTGATTCAAAGCAGGGCATCCTCACTGCAATCAGCGCCCATGAGTAGAGAGTGGAGAAGTACCATGAAGGTGGTCACTCACCCATCCCCAAAGCTGCCCTGTCACTGCCTGCAAGTTTCTCTTACCCCAAATGAACACCTAATGACATACGCCATAAATCATAAGTGTTATATATGACAATTAATGAAATTGGAAACTTGCGGCTTCTGACAAGAATAATAATGTTTCAGTTATACCATGACTAAATAGTTGATACAACTGATCCTGTTTTTGGGAGCTGCTGTTGCAGATACACTGCAGTACTTCTGTGTTAGTTCCTGAAAAACCGAGCAGTTTGGCTTTGACACTATATTTCCTTTGCCTGACTTTTTTCCTAAAAATTCAGTGTATTTTTTAGCTAAGGTTGCTGCATTTACACTGTATTCATGCAAATAGCACATGCCAATTTTTTGAAAGAATTGCTATAATAGCAGCCTGTTTCTTTAAAATAATAGAGTGCTTTGGATAAACATATTTTTTGAGCAAAAGACATAGGGCTATAAGGGCCTGTCATATGCAACCTCTTCAATCAATTTTATAAATTTATTAAGCTGCATCTTAGAGACAGATTTTCTCAAGGAAAGAAAAAAATTGTTTTCGTTCTCAAATAGGCATTTGTGTGGTTTTTTAACATAGCCAATACTCAAGATTTAATGGTTGTGATTTATTTTCCTAGCTATCCATATATTTATAAGGTATACATAGGAAGCTTAATTGGTCACGATAGCCTTCCTTTAAAATCAATAAGAAGTAGGAAATGTTGAGACACAATTCATCAGATCCATTATGAAAATCTGCTCAAAGATTATATTAATTGTAGTCTAAGCCCCATAAACACCAGCAAGAATTCACAGGGTAGTTCAGCCAGCTTTTTGGAGAGAAGCACTTCAGATGTTGCAAGCAGGGTTTCAGATCAGCCAGTGAAGATGTCACCACCTTTATCCCACTGTTCCCCCTTCCTCACATACAATCAGTCCCTAATTATGGTAAAATGCTCCAGATTAGAAGAGCTCTATTTATAATGCTGAAGCTAACTCAACACACTTGGAGAGAACTTGGTTAATGCAGTTATGATAAGCAAGTGGAGGAGGCAATAAGAAACAATGTCTGGTCTTGAGACAGAAAGGAAAGTTGAAAAATAAGGAGAATTCAGAGAAGAAGGAAGCCAAATCACAGAATGTAGGAACCACATTCAAAATACTACCTTGACAGAAGCTTTGTCATTTGTCTTCCTTGGATACAAATTTGTAGCTGCAGACTGGGAGAGAATACTGAGATATTTAAGATATTGCTGAAGAGACTTGGCCAAGTTCACATCATTTTCCAGATTGTAATTTCTTTCATTATCTGCATTCTGTCCCAAAGTCCTGCACAGCAAAAGCAAGGAAAAGAAAATTACCAGCCTGTACAACATACAAAGTGCCCAACTAAAAAGGCACTGCAAACCATTGAAGTTAGTTCCATACATAACAAAAGTCACTCAAAAGCTTAGCAGCCACAAAAGTATAGAAAATTCAATGTTTCAGCAAAAGCAGACAAAAAATCTTGCACTATTAACAATTTATTGCATGAACCAAAGTTAATGATCCAACAGTAAATCAAATAAAATGCCTACATTAAGGCAAAGCCATATTCAGAAAAAAAAGAAAATACACGTGATTAAATTGCACCCCAAAGAAATCTGAGACGGTTCTAAGATTTAAAAAAATTGCTGCATGATGATGAGACTCAACATCAATTTGGCCTTGCACCAATTTACAGAATACAGTGAGACTACTGGATGTGCAGAAATAACTGGGCAAGTCAGCAGAAGGCTTAAAAAGGGAATAATGAGATGGAGCAAGTATCTCTTCTGATCTTCTCATGTGCCTGGGCTGCACAGAACAGTGGTGTTTCCTGACTGGTTTAGACAGAACTTGGTGATGTTTGCAAAGGAAAGCTAAAAATGTGATTAAACAGCAGCAGTGTAAAGGTGTTTATATGGGATTCAGAGCACCATGCGCAATGAATCTGAATTATTACCAGCTCTCCTCATCTATCTCAACAACATGTCAATGACGATGATAATTCAAATGTCAACACCAGTAACTACTTCATTCCTTGTGCAAGAAAACACAGAGAGGGTTCCCAGTCTGCTTCCTTCCCTGTGAGTGACACATTGTTTTAAGGGAAATCACCTTTTTGGTGTCACCATTTCCTACAGACATGCCCTCACACTTTAGTGAAGAACAATTCCAGGTGGAAGAGCTTTCCAGCTCCGGGAGACAAGGCATCACTTGACTTTCAACATCTCTATGCCACTGTAAGCAAAATTTTATTCTACCAGCCCAGGTCACAGTGTTTATATAGGGGCACAGCTTAAGAGAGTACCATTAGGTTGTTTTCCAAATCTTGGTTTTACTTACATCACTTTATGCACAATGACTTCCTTCCATGCTCACAGCTGTATCAAATGCATGTTCTGACTAATTTAATACCAACAAATGTAATTAATAATCGAATTTACTCTGGTTGCGTTGCAACCAGTAGTGGTCACAGGGTTGCTCACTTTGAAGTACCAGAAAAACCCTCCGCTTCTCCCCAGTGTAGAGCAAGCAGCTACCCATCAGGCATGAACCAAAGGGCAACCCTGCCTTGTACCCATCAGGCACACAAACTCCAGGGAAACAAAAGTTTACTGCACAGAGCACTGTAGCAACCTTGATAGAATTCACCTTAAGGCTTGCTTCCTCCTCATGCTGTTTGTATTTTACTCTTATTCCAGAACTCTAAATTCTGCCTTATGAGGGAGGGTGGACATGCAGGTAACATTATCCACCTCCTTTCAACTTAAAGCCAGACTAAAAATGTTCTGCAGTTTTAGAAAGAGCTGGGCAGTGTGCTTGCTGCTTCAATAGAGATGAACTAATCCAAAGGCTCTCATCACAGAAGGTATCCTGGTTTCAAACACTCATCTTCCATTCATCAATTAATTCCAACACCTATCTTCTCCTTTCTTCACTAACTTTGAAAAGAAAGGGGAAATGGAAATACTAGACCAAATTCTGCCCCAAGGATTTCCACTGGAGCTAATGGGAACTGAATGCACAGATAAAAGACAGTATTTAGGTTAGCTTTTCAAGCCATTATTTACAGTATATAATCACTCACACTGGTGGTGGAAGCAAAATCTGGGATCTAAGACTTCTCATTTTTCTAATACAGATGGTAATTGCACTCAAATTGTGTTTAAATTCCACATTAGATGTAATATTTTATGCTGTAAACTTTTAAACAATTGAAAAGTCTAAAAAAATTACATTTCATTTGACGATAATTTTAATAAAATCCTATGAAAGCATCTGAAATATTTTTAAAATTTTTTGTAGGTCACCAGTATATCACTGTTGTTCACCTAGTTAACACAGAAAGTAAAATGCATTAAATGAGCTATTATTGCAACTGATTTAAAATACTTCTTTTAAATTTGACAAAGTGATACTGGAAAATGGATGAAAGACAAATATATAAAAGCACCTGGTGAGTAGGAGAAATGACTGTCAGCTGAGTTTTTGTTGTGCACTTATTTGGAAGTATTTTCAGTTTTAATTTCTTCTGAAAAAGGACTTTGCATACAATGAACTTTACGGTATAGAGACAATGACATATATAATTATTTATCCACAGAAAAAAATTACATATTTCTTATAAAACCCAGCATTTTAGAAGCTTTTGTGTGGAAATACCTAAATAACTGCACCTCAGATGTTTCTAGAATGTTCTCAATTAATAGATACCACACTTCTTAGAATAAAATTCCTCCCTTTTAAATGCTGTGAGAATCTTATTACTGACTTTTTGATGGTTTTGTTATAGAAATAGTACTATATCCCATTTCATACATTGAAGTATTCTGAAAACGTTTGTGGTTTTGCCTAATTGCACCAATGAACACAACTGACATTTATTCCCTGTGTGCAGGATGGACTTTTTTCCTTTATCTTGGATCTTCTTTCAAGAGTGGGTTTTTTTTGAAATTTAATAAGGGCCCAGGAAATACCACGTACACTCCAGTTAACCACCAAAGAAAGAACTTTCATCTTGAAATCAAGCTCCCAGTTTCAGCATTTTTTTAAGATGAAATCCATGTCTTCTGTTCCTTCAGATTTCATATGCACTAATTTAGCCTAAGTCAATTTACCTTTCAAGTGTCTGAGTCTATTTTCTTGCTCTCACTAGCTCTGTGGGGATTAATGACTCATTAGTATGACTTCATATTGTCTTATTATACACGTTACCCCTAATAAAAGGTCTTCCTGCCATAATGTTTCTTTGATAATTAGATACCTACACTAAGTTGCTTTTTTAATTATTTAATTATTATCTGCTAAGATTTTAGTGAGCACATTGAGCACACTCCACATATAGCAAACTTGATCAGAATCTACAAGACGACAGAGAATAAGTTCCTAGTGTTCTCTGACTTACAGAATATATTGCAAATGGACAACCAGAAAAATCAATTAATGCTTTAAACTGTTGGCACATAAGATAATGCTTTCAGAAGCACAGCTTGGTAACTTCAGAAAATCTATCCACAATAGGAACTGCTATAAGTGGAACACATTTGAAATTCTGATGTTCCTAAAGTGTCAATACACAAATTGGGTTATTTTTTTTTTTAAGGTATAGTTCTAATTAAAAATGCAAAACAGCTCAAACCTGATCTCAACAGGAAGTCCTAAAAATGATAATCTGTTCTCAGTCTAAAACCTAAATTATTACTTGTATCTTATAGATTTTATTTTTATCTAACTATGAATCTGGAACACTGCAGAATACAATCTTGATCTCATGGAAATCTGGCCTATTTTAACTTACTCTCATGAATAAAAGTTTTAGTTCCACTCAGTCTAAAAAAAAAAAATCCCCCAGAAGATATTCAAAATCATTTCTGATACCATGTACAGAAAGTAATCCATACAGTGATAGTATTTTGTGTACCTAAGCAGTGAAAACATGTTTATGGATTCAACCACATGTTGTTATCACCTTTATGATAATCTATAGATCAGTATCTTTAGAAGTTAAGTTTCTACCTTACTGCACTCCTGAAAGATATGGTGCTGTGATTTCAAGGAATGCTTTTGAATCAGCAAATATGTGGAATACAGGATCAAATTCTATGAATTAACTCAAAACAAACAGAGGCAAACACAGTCAAAGCCACTGGGCAGTATCAATAACACAGCATTTTTATTCCCATAAAAGAGCAGTCTAGAGAAGAAATAGTTCTGCAGTATATGCAAACTACATACTGCGGTATATGAAGATCTAAAGTCCAACATTCAACATCTTGCCCATCAAGGCTAGAAGCTCAAGCATTTTCCCCCTATGAAGAAAGTTTTCTAACAAAAAGCACTTTCTATCAATTTTACTAATTTTGAGATTGCATTTCTTAAAATCATGTAGGAGAAAGCAAAATTTACCATTTTTAACATTCCTAAAATTTTATGCATTTTAAAATTTCCTTCTGGGGTTTGTGTGTCTGGGTTGCACTTAAAAGCCTGTAGGACAGAATAGACCAGGTAAAAGAGTATATTTATATGTGTATCTGTATACAAAGACGATACAATTGCAGGTCCTACACCCATATCACACTACAGAATTATAGATGTTGTGTCTCTTGCCGCCAATAACCGCTAAGTCACCCCTCAATATCTTTCAAGCCATGAGGAAAATGGCTTTTGTAATGCAAAGAATACATAGAAATGTCCCAACATTTTTTTCTGTCATGGGAACTTGCATGAATGTTGTCTTCCTGGACAAATTTTGCAACTAGAGCTGAGCATCTATGGACTTCAAAGCAATTACAACTATATTTTGGAAGAATATGAGTTTGAAAATATAATTAGATGCTCAGAATGTCATTCAGTACTTCTTTTTCTTTCTTTTTGTTGGCTTTTTCCAGAACAAAATGTCTCCTGTGAGTAAGCTGCTGTGTAAGTCTACCTTTTTAAGGCAGTCATAAGTAGAGGTGGCTGAACTGACACTAGACACTGCATAAACTGGACAAGAGTTTGAATTCTGATGTCTAAATTAACAATAGAAGGCCCATTTTCTTAACTTGATGATAATCAGAACAGGGTTGAGGGTTTTCATTCATTCTGTCTGTTTTCCAGTTGGTGTTTTCAGTGCTGTTGTATGACTGATTTCCCTTTAGATAGTGGTTTTGGTGATGTGTTCAGCTTCAGCACCAACCTATTTCTCATCATTTGCAAACCCTCCCAATGGCAAAAACACCATTGAAGACTTACCTTCCTGTGTCAGATTCTTCAGATGCAAGTATATCAGGGCGTCTGTTGTGGATTTTGTGAATGGTTGAGAGTTCCTGACCAATAACATGCTGTGTATAATCATCTCGCCAGGTAAAACCTGATAAATAATTAAAAAACCAAACAAACAAATAAAAAAAGAAGTAAAACCACTATTTGATCACTTGAAAGTTTGGCAAAAATGTGTCCTATATAAGCAATATTTAAAAAAAAAAAGAAAAAATAAGCTTTGTTCAGTTGGAACCCAAGAGCGAACTACAGATTCTTCTGTAGGAAATTTTGTTAATCAAACTTTCTTTACAATGGAAGCAAGACAGTAGATGATGTGAGGAGATTCTGAAAGATTTTACTCTTAGGAGAAGCTTAGCTAGTTACAAACTAGCTTTAACAGATAAAAAGGGTTACTTGGACAGCTATGGAAAAGAGTTACCTCACTAGCTGGTATCTATTGAAAGGTTGCTTCACTTCTTCCCCATTCACAGCACACTGTCCCTTCTCTGTTTTCTCCACGCACCTATGCTCTTAGAACACTAAGGAGCTAGTACTGCAGTGGAAGTAAGTATGTTGAGTTTTCGTATAACACATATGGAGGTCAATTTATGTTATCTTTATACTTAAATGTTGTGACAAAGAACTTTACAACAAGGGGGAAGTGCAACGATGAAGGCAAATTCCAGTGATTACTAATTAATTACATGCACTGTCAATCTCATGGTAATTATACTTGAAATAATGATATAACATAATTGTTACCCGATTTGTAGATTTTAGATGTTACGATAACACTTTAGTACATAGAACTTGCCCATGCAATTATCTGTAATTATCTAATAACTAAATATCACATAATTGAAGAGCATTTCTGCTTTTACGCCATGTGCAGTAAAACACCACAAAACCCTCAAATTAATATTGATAAAAGTTCCAGATATGGTTATCCTGCTAATATCTTCCTGTAAGAAACCACCTAAAGAAAAATCCTCTCTAGCACCAGATGGAAGGGGACGTATCTGGTTGTTAGAATCAGCCTCGGAAGGGGGATTTCTGGTTCAGTCCCTATTTCATACACACGTTATAAACTTTATCATGATTTGCAGTAAACATCAGATTTGTTGCTATAGGCAGCCTCTTAGGGTGCACCTAAAGCATCATCAGTCTCAGCAGAACCCAGAACTTGGCCACCTCAGTCCTTGGATGAGTGCTTTATCCAGTGGGCTATTAAAAAAAGGGCTGTATTATTCAGATTTTTCCACTGTATTGAGGTGGAGTTCATTGTCTGTTTACTTCAGCCCAGAACTCAAAAAGAAGTCTAAATAGGAGATTTGTCCATTCTGCCAAAGCAGACAGTTATGAGCATACAGAAGTAAAAATTACTTTAATATTTATCAAATTTTCAGCCTAAGGAGGAGATGCTTAAAGAAGTTTGGTATAAGATTAGAAAGGCCTAGGAAGTATTCAAACTGTGCTATTGTCTGGGATTTAGACAGGTTTTAGGAAAAAAAGTCCCCATTTGGGCAAAGAGTTAGGTGGACTGCATCCCAAACTTCATTTTTTTTCATTAATGAAAATAATAATAATAAACAATCTAGAACCAATGTAAATATGCATGAAGACTTCAACAAACAAAAAAGCTCTCTGAAATTTCTCTGACACTCCACTTTTGCTCTTTTTTTCTCCTTTTCTTAAATAAAAATGTTACTCAAGTTTATTGAGGAAACACTTCACCTGAAATCATGTTAGATGGTAATGGCTACAGTAAATTACTCCAGACCCTTGGGAGGGGAAAGAATCTCTCTCTCTCTCTAATCTATGTTTAGTTCCAATTCATCCTTTTCAAATGCAAATCTCACCTTTTCAAATGTGCTGTGTAAGTAGATGGATTCAAATAATTTCACAAATCTCAATCTAAGGCTCCTCAGAGCATGTTCTTTGTGAATATACAAAAATGAGTCACCATGCACCTATGATTATTTTGGTGTAGTGTTATTAAAATGATTTTTACCTGAAAGTTTTTATAGATATATGTTTCAGTTTACTTCTCTGTTGCTGAGCAATACACATGTCTGTTTGTTTTATAAATTCATGCAGGAGAAAAAACTAAGATAACATTCAAGTTTAGATGAACGTGCAACAAAAAAAGTTCAGCTAAAATACATATATACTCAAACCGTTAGCGTAGCCATAAAACTACTAATTTATGAACTAAATGATTCTATGACTCTCTCTGTCCAAAATCTCTACATTTTCACTTTGTAACTCTAAGCCAATACTATCCCTATGAAAGGCTAAAGAATACACAATAAATAACATAAACTTTGAAGAAAAACACACAGAATAACTCTGAAGAGTTTTATTCAAATTAAAGCAAGCAGACTTCATCTGTGGTACCTGCATACAGACAGGAAATTCATCTCTCTCTGTCCTGAGCATTACATATGGCTGCAGACAGAGGGGTCAATAGTTAGTTATGGTTTTTATGCCTCCGTAAAACAATGTTTTCGGTAAAAGAGCATAAGAAACCACTGCAATCCCAATTCTCACTGCTCATGATAATGGTGTATCTTTTGTTAACTTCAGTATACTTTCTTTCTCCTGCAGCATTATTTTAACATTGTCTGCTAATGCATTTCAGACCAGTACAAGTATACCATCCTTAATACTGTAAAAGGACACAACTGTGGCATTAAAGGATGTAAATAGATGAAAGAAAAACAGAGTACCTGTTATAGAGCTTAAGAAACTGAAGTTAATGGAATACGCCCTCTCAACTTGTCTCCTAGCACTTCTAACTCACATAAGAGTTAGAACAGGACATGGATGAAAAATGCAAATTTTAACTAATTCAAAAATCCCCTCATCAATAAGTTAATATTGCTGTTTCTTATGCAACTATCTCAGGAACTGCAACGTGTCTAAAGCTAACCTTATGCCAATCATTTTCCAGCATTGTTTCAGTTTCAAAAAAATCTCTCCCACACACTGAGCTCAATAAAACAGCACATTCAAGAACCATAATGCCACGCTGACAGCTGCAATCAAAATTAAGGTTGAGAAGGAGCATATGACGCCGTATGGCGATTTCCTGTTCCCTTTGTCTCTGCCGTCACGCCTAGCGCCAGCTCCTGCCTCACCGCCCAATTATTACAATTTATCTCCACTGGCTGAGCAGGATCACAGCAGTGCTCTTGTACACACATTACTTCCATGTCACTAACGGGGAACGGTACAGGGGGACACCCAACCCTTAATAACCATCCCCCCTGCAGGTCTGCCCAGGACCTGCGTCTCCCAACTGTGAATTCCCACAGACGGACAATGCCAAGAGAAGGTCTCCGGCAGACACTGGAGTGACGCAAATACGATGACAACAGCAGCAGCAGCAGCAGATATAAAATTGCTCTCAGCTGAAGAGCACTGATGGTAATGAGCCCGCATGAAAAATGCCATTGCTACAAATTTTCCCCACAAAGAGTAGCACTTTTCATTGGTGTCAGAGTCCAAGGTTTAATTATTTTCTTTTTTTTTTAATTGAAACTCCATAATATAAATGTCTGTGAAAAGGGCATGCTAGTGTAGAGCCAGTGAAGACAAGACATTAATGCCTTTAGTAAACCCAACATGCACATCAAAACCAATGGAGTTGCTCCCTATGTGACCCAGTCTTTCCTTGTTATCATCAGGTATCTCCTTGGATCTTTTCTTCGCCCAGCACAATTAATTATTATTATTACCCACAACTACAAAAAAAAAAAAAAATTATTATTGTCCAGGTATCCATTATGTTCAACACTTAGCAATAAGTATGCCAATAGAGAGTAAATGTCTAAGAATTATTTTATTAATTGAAATCAAATCAAAAGCAAGTAGTATAAATAGTGAAGAAAACAGTTTTCACAGATTCACCCTGGCGAAGATAATATTAGCTTCTGTCTCCAAATGTAAAGTCAAAGTTGTTTTCACATTTATCATACAATTTCACTTTTAACCTGCTTAATTGGCTTTGCTGCTATACCAATTACACAGTATTACTGAAAAATAATAAAAATTCAAATATGCATTTTCTTCTCTCAGCTGTTCAATTTTTCTAAATAATGGCATTCTTTCCTGTGGTTTTGACTCTGTTTTTCATCTTAGAGAAACTTGATGCCTCTCCAAATATACCTGATCACATCTTTAATGCATGTAAATTATATTAGCAACTGTTGAAAACATTAATCTCCTACTTCTCTGTCTCAACTTATTCTAGTTCAGAATTATTCATACAAATAATCTTCACTGCCTCTGAAGGTCTAGGCAAGAACAACATCAGTAGAGTCCAATTTATGTCCTTTAAAGCAACAACAGTTCTCACTGCCCAAATGTTTGGCCCTGCAAATCTTCCTGCTCGTATTCCCGACCCTTTTCCCAACCAGCCTGACTGAGGCTGCACAGGGCGCTGCAGGCAACTCCAGCAAAACCTGTGTCTGACAGGATAACACCATGAGACTTCCAGCTCTTGTGCCAATCAAAATCCCAAATGATTCGTTCTGCATCAATATATTAGCAACAAAATTATTTCTACGTACCAAGTCCATTCAAAGTGATGAGATTATTATATATTGGCAGAAACCTATATAGTAAAACCTGATCCTTCTTTGTGAGGAAATCCCTGTATAAAGGCCAAAAGAACTCAGAAGTATTCAGACTCAGAGCCAGAACATGTTACTGGTTTTGAGTTGTGACATTTTTTCCCCAGTTTTTGGTAATGTTATCCATTTTGTCCAACATGGTGTATGATAAAATAGGTTTTTCTCTGAGCTACCTTAAACTGCTACTTCATTTCAGCCAGGAAACTCTCAGTTGTAGAGCTCAGAGACTTTCATCCCCCATGCCATGTGTTGCAAATTGTTAATGCCTACTTTAGCTGTCAGAATGTCTGCAGAATTGGGAATGATTGGCTTTCTTCCCTATTTTCACAACAGACAGGTCAACATATAGACATGCCTTTCTGCAGGTTGCCTTTCCACATTCTCTAGAGGAGCTGCACTTGTTTGCATCCCAGACCTCCATTTTCAGAGCTCAAGGACATACCCAATAATGTTCACATATTTCAGTACAGGC